AAAAAAAGAATATGAGCCCATGGAAGAACTTTAGATGATCAAAACCTTAATGCATGAATTAAGTGGCAGTTCATATAATTTAAAGGCCATGATCCAAAGGAACCAGAGTAGTTGAGCTGTTTATTGGTGGTCTGAGCTTTGAAATTCACTTTTGAAGATAACATTTGAAAAATGGAACATGCACACAGATAGTACAGTAATAAGAAATCCTCAAGTGAAATGCTCCAGGGGCTTTGGTTTTGTAACTTACTCTTGTATTGAAGTGGTACATGCTGCAATGTGTAATGATTGCACAAAGTTGACTGTATTGGAGCCAAAGAGAGCTGTTTCTACACAGAATTCACTAAAGCCTCGTGCCCATCTAACAGTGAAGAAAAGTTTTATTGGTCGTATTAAAGAACATACAAAAGAATTTAATTTGAGGGGCTGGGGAGGTAGCTCAGTAGAATAAGTGCTTTCCTAGCAAGCACAAGGGTCTGAGTTCAGTCCCCAGTTCTGCAAAACAAAGAACCAAAAAAATTTAATTTGAGAGACTACTTTGAAAGATATGGCAGGATTGAAACCATGGAAGTTATGGAAGATAGGCAGAGTAGCTGGGTATGGTGGTACATGCCTATAATCCCAGCACTCAGAGGCTGAGGCAAGAGGGTCATTGCAAGTTTGAGACCAGCCTGGGCCACAAAGAGAGCTGAAGGCCAGCCTGAACTACATAGTGAGACCCTGTCTCAAAGGAAAAAAAAAAGCAGGCAGAGTAGAAAAAAGAGGATTTGCTTTTGTAACTTTTGATGATCATGATACAGTTGATAAAATTGTTGTTCAGAAATAATGCACTATAAGACCACTATGTTCTCTTCTGCATGGTGACCCACTCTCGCACTGTAGAGTACACTTCCTATTTTTACTTGGCCCAAACTTGTGCTCCAGAGCCCTTTTTTCCCTACCTTTAATAGAGCTTTGCTACAATTAAAAAGAAAAAAATACACACAATTAATGGGTATAATTGTGAAGTTGAAAGGGCCCTTTGTAAATAAGAGATGCAGTCTGCTGGATCACAAAGAAGTGGAGGTGGGTCTGAAAACTTTATGGGTCATGGAGGAAACTCAGGAAGTGGTGGAGAGAATTTTGGCTGTGGTGGAAACTGGTGGGAGAGGAGGCTAGTGTGGTGGAGGAGGTGGCAGCAAAGCCCCTTAGAGGTGATGGTGGCTATAATAATGGACTTGGAGGTGATGGTGGGGACTATGGCAGTATTCAAGAGAGAGCCAGGGATATAGCTTGAGGTCCTGAGTTCAATTTCTGATAACAAAACAAAAATCTAATAGAGGAGGCTATGCTTGGTGGTGGAACATGATATGGAAACTGAGGTGGTAGAGGTGGTGGTGAAGAATATGATGGTTACAGTGGAGAAAGTGTTGGTGGTGAGAATTATGATTTTGAAAATCATGTGGATAACAACAATCAAATTATGGACCCACAAAGTGTGCAGGTTTGGTGAAAGAAGTTCTGGCAGTTCCTATGCTGGAGGTTATGGATCTGGTGGTAGAAGTGGTGGACATGGTAATAGGTTTTTGAAACAGAAGAGGAGGGCCGGGGAGATGGCTCAGTAAAGTAAGTGAGTTCAGTCTCCGGTTCTGCCAAAAAAAGAAACAGAAGAGGGCTACAGTTCTTAGCAAGAGAGAAAGCAAGTTGTCAAGAAAGCTTCAGACAGTCATCCCAAATGCTTAGAGGAACTGTACAGATGTGCCACAGAAGAAACAGTGATGCATAGCCAGAAAAGTTACTGCAGCTTAAACAGGAAATACTGGTTCAGGACTGTCATAGCCACAGTTTGCAAAGAGTGCAGCTATTGATCAAAGCAGTGTAATGTGAATCAGGTACACATTTCCGAGGTCTTTTATCTGTTGTAGCTTTGTCTTTTGAGACAGGGTCTCATTATATACTTCAGGCTGGCCTTGAACTCATGGTGATCCTCCTGTCTTAGACTCCCAAGTGCACCACAGGTGTGCACCATAATGTCTGGCACTCTTTTTCTTTTCATTACATCATGTATATTGCCCTGTAAATTTTAATAGTCATACTAGGAATAAAAATTTAGGAAATTTTGACATACCAGTTATTACCATACTGTCTCACAAGTAAAAAAAAAAAATTTTTATGGGTAATAAATGAAAAAAAGACACAAGAAAAAGAAAAAAAAAGTCACAGGACTGTCCTGCTACAATGCTGTATATGGTTAGATTTCTAAATATCTGTGTAAAAATATGTAATTGTTTATTCATATTCTTTAAATATTTTTCATTTTTTAAATTTTTATCTCCATATTCTGTAGGGACTTAATGTTTAACATATCAATACTTGATGGAAAATATCTGTTCCATGTTATGCCTAAGATGTTTGCTATTCAGACAGATAGTGAAGTTAAACCCAACTGCATAAGATGTAGGGTAATAATGAGCTTCTCTTCTGGAGGGTTAACAACCTAAGTTTGCAGACCAAAAATTAGAGAAATAGAAGGACTGCAAGGACAGCCAATATTTTGACCATAGCCTTTCAAGGTCAGTGAAGACTCAGGACATAGGAGAACCTATACTGTAACATCATGTAACTCAGTTGTGTCCCAAATTTTCTGATCAAGGAGATTATGGGGCCACAAAGCATCGTAATCGATGACGTAGAGTGTACCTAAGGAGAGTCACCTGGAAAGAAAATATTCTCTCAGGCTTTCACAGAAAGCAAATTGGTCAAGCAATGGCCATGACTCATCCATATGTCTGACACTGACAAAGGATCTGCAAACTGCGGTACAGGGTTACAGGATAAATCCTGAGGGGACTTGACTGACCTTAGCAGATACAAAAGTTACATTTCTTGTTATACAGGTCTTGCTTTATCTTGGCCTTAACCATCCAGCAGGAAAGTATAAAAACGAGGTATATAAAGTAAAGCCATATTAATATGCTGAGCTGTGAAAGGCTCAAGTCAACGACTTCTATGTATAACCCTCTACTATTGTGGACTGCTGGACTGTGTTGAATTGTTTTGCTAAATTCATGCACCTATAGTATTTAGATGCCAATGGAATACCCATCTCTGACAGGACTAAACAAAAAAAGGCGATACAAAGGAGGGATCATTTTGTATCTGTATATGCAGAATAGTTAGAATAGATATACAGCTACTTTCACTTAATTCAATGAGAAGAAAGATTTGTAGTACTATGAATAACCACTAAGAAGATAACAATGTGCAATGTATTAATTATTGAAACTGTCCTATTAATCAATTTTGAAAATGTCTCATTGATATTTGTTTCTCAGTAAAATAATTAAGGAAATTTTAACTTAAAAAAAAATTCTGATAGATCAGAAATCGGAAACTTAGTTCTCTTTTCCATCTTGCAAGATGGCAGGTGAAAAAACTGAGAAGCCAGACACTAAAGAGAAGAAACCCAAAGCCAAGAAACCTTCTGCCAGTGGTACTGGTAGAAAGGGTAAGGTGAAGGCAAAAAACTCCAAGAAGGGGCAGCCCCACTGCAGCCAAAATCCTGTCCTGGTTAGAGGAATTGGTAGATACTCCCAATCTGCTGTGTATTCCAGAAATCCTTTGTACAAGAGAAAGCACACAGCTGCTAAATCAAAGACTGAGAAGAAAAGAAGGAGAAAGTTCTTGCTATGATCACAAAACCTGGTCAGTGGGGATAAGAATGGAGGTTCTTGTCTTACCCAGGTGGTTAAGCTTCAAAAAATGTCTAGATACTACCCTACTGAAGATGTGCCTGAAAGCTCTTGAGCCATGGCAAGAAACCCTTCAGTCAGCACGTGAGGAAACTTCGAGCTAGCATTACTCCCAAATTCGTCTTGCTCATCCTCACTGGGTGTCACAGAGGCAAAAGAGTGGTCTTCCTGACACAGTTGGCCAGTGGCTTGCTACTTGTGACTGGGCCTCTTAGCCTTAATCATGTTCCTCTATGAAGAACACACCAGAAATTTGTCATTGTCACCTCTACAAAAATTGATATCAGCAAAGTGAAAATCTCCAAACACTTTACTGATGAGGGTGGTGAGATCTTTGACCCCAAGAAAGAGAGATACCAGATTTCAGAGCAGGACAAGGTGGATCAGAAAGCGATGGACTCAGATTTTAGCAAAAATCAAAGCTGTTTCTAAGCTCTGGGCTGGGCTACCTGCAATCCATTTTTGCTCTGACAAGTGGAATTTTGCCTCATAAATTAGTGTTCTAAATTTCTAAGAACCTAATTAAATAACTGATACAAAAAAAAAATTCTAACAGAAACTTTATTATCCAGGCTTAAATGTCAGTTCTGTGCTATGCATCTTTTCGTTGATTTTTTGTTTGTTTGTTTTGGTTTTTGTGAACTCACTGTTCAGCCCAGTCTGTCTTCAAATTCATGGTGATCTCCTGCCTCAGCCTCCTGAGTGCTGGCATTATAGACATGCATTATCATGCCTGGCCAAAATATCTATTCTTTTCAGGCCTTACAGAAAGGACATTATCTCAACTTTGGAATCCTCTGAAGCCCATTGCTCCTTTTATCTACCATTGTTTTCTAGTGGCTTTATTTATGTTTTCTAGTTTTCTTGAAGCATGTAGCCATGGCTTGAACTGTCTGGTAGTTTCTGTTTTTCCTGTTCCCCTACACTCCCTTCAACACCCCACCTCCACCATTTGCAAAAGTCTTATTTCCACTTTTTCCTTCTTTTCTCTCTTTTTTTAAAGTTTTCCTTTTTTTGCTTTCTCCCTGCTCTTTCCCTTATTCCCCTCCCCATTTGAACATTTTCTTCCTTTTTCACAATACTATTATACAGTTTGGTCCTTATTTATAATTTTGTTGTGGTATTTACACATGTGTGTCCAGTTTATTTCACTTAAGAATATTGACCAGCAGCTTTTGACGTAGAGAGAAACCTGAACCACGTCCAGTAGTTGTGAGGGTGGTGATAAGAGCCCTGCACTCCTCAACTTATTTGTATGCTATGTTACAGAAGCAGCATCCAGGGCAGCGTCATCTGCAACAATGCTGTGATTGAGAAGGGAGCAGACATTAAAGACTGTTTGATTGGATGTGGCCAGAGGATCGAAGCCAAAGGTAAACAGGTTATAATCACTGATGTCATCTTTTACCTATCTCCCTAACATGGATAATGCTCAATAGAAAAGATGGGGGAAACAAGCATGTACATGCACTGCAGGTGAACATAAATTTATGAAGCCATCTTTGAAGAACAGTTGACTGGGTGTGTTTTTAATTGGTTTTCTGAGACAGTCCGGGCTGGCTTTGAACTGTGTTGCCTAGGCTGGCCTGGAAGTCGTGATCCTTGCCTCATCTTCCTAACTGCTGGGATTATAGACTTGTGTCACTGTGCCTGGATATCATTATCAATTTTTTTATTCTTTTTTTTTTTTTTAGCGGAACCAGGGATTGAACTCAGGCCCTTGCGATTGCCAGGCAAGCAGTTATTCTACTGAGCCATCTCCCTGGCCCCCATTATCAAATTTTTAAACTTCGATGTAACAGTTCCACTTCTAGGAACTTATACATTAACTCTCATGCAGCCATACTATCAAAAAGTTGAGTTGGACATGGTGGCTTATGCCTGTAATCCTCGCACTTGTGAGGCCAACGCAGTTGAACTGCTGTAAGTTCGAGGCTGACCTGGGCTACAGAATGAGTTCAAGGCCAGCCTGAACTATACAGTGAGACTGTCTCAAAAAAAAAAAAAAGGGGGGCTGGAGAGATGGCTCAGTGGTCTAAAGCACCTACTTGAAACAAGCTTGGCAAAGCACAGGGACCGCGGTTCGATCCCCCAGCACCACATGCCAGCCAGCCCCCGCCCCCTGGTGGGCTGAGCTGGCCACACACACAATAAATAAATGTAATAAAAATAAATAAATAATTAAAAAAAAAAAAAAAACTAAAAAGAAAAAAATTAAGAATATTCAGACAGACTTAATAGCCTGGATTGTCACCAGTGCTTCTGGCTTTTAGACACAAGACAGAGTGCTTATAAATGCAGTCAAAGCTCAGAACTTAAAAAAAAAAAAAAAAAAAAAAAAACTCAGAACTAATTGGCTTCCTATAGGTTGTGAGTGCTTCATTTGGCTTTTTTTTTTTTTTTTAAAGACAGGGTATTGCTATGTACTTCAGACTGGCCTTAAACTCACTATGCAGTTCAACTTTGGCGGGGGGGGGGTACAGGGGATCAAACTCCGGACCTTGCCCTTGGCAGGTGCTTATGCCACTGAACTATATCCCTGGCCCCCATTTTCAACTGTTTAAGAGGTGGTACTAGGCACTGTGCTGTTAGCTACAAAACCTGTAGAAAAACCGCATAGTTGTTGACAGCCAAATGAAAATCAGGTGGGCAGGGAAAATTGTAATTCTTAATTTGTTTCTGGGTATGTGTGTGTGTTGCTGAGAACCAAATTCAGAGCCCCACACGTGCTACACGAACACTCTACCACTCTGTCCTCTGCTGAGTTGACCAGTGTATCCAGCCCAGAGGTCAGTGCCTTGCTGCCAGAGGTACTGCCTAGCCAGTCACCTTTTTGTTGCTGTTGTTGTATTGCAGCGTTGTCTTCAAATTAGTTAGTCACCTTTTTTTGGAAGAGGGATTATTTATTGTTTGCTTGGTTTAAGAGGGAGACTAGGGGAGGTGATTTTTGAGATAGGGTCTCCCTATATAGACCAGGCTAGCCTTGAACTTAGATTAATCCTCCTGTCTCAGCCTCCTGAGCACTGATGACAGACATATGCTACCACCACACTAGCTTTTTGGGGTTTTTTAAGATAGCATCTCCTACCTAGGCTGGTTTCAAACTCCTGGGCTCAAACAGTTCTCCTGCCTCAGCCTCCCAACTGTCTAGGGACTATAGATGCAGGCTACCACCTACAGGTAGAAAAACAAATTCTTACCATCAGTGCAGCACCCAAGACCTGACAGGGATGACCCAGACAGAATGCCCACTTTGGGCCAGGGAAATAGCTCAGTAGAATAAGCGCTTCCCTGGCAAGCGCAAGGGCCTGAGTTTCCGCTAAAAAACAACAACAACAACAAAATAACAGAATGCCCACCAGCCCCTACTGGCAAAGAGCTCAGTAGATAACAAAAGTCCCTCACATGGAAAAATTTCAGGAAAGAGTGGTCATTCGTGGAAGTACTGCTATCTCCTCTCCATATTCAGTCTTTTATTTGGCTTTAGTTTTTTTTGACAGGGTCTCTATGCAGTTCAGGCTGACCTTCAGCTCACTATGTTACCTCATGCTAGCCTTGAACTGGTAGCAGTCCTCTGGCCTCCTCCTCCCAAGCACAGTACATAGGTGTGCACTACCACACCTGGCTCTAAAGTCAATCATCTTCATACTCAGAGTCACACATCCATAATGTTTCTTTCCAGAAAATGTGACTTACAACCCATTGTATACCTTACTGCCAACTTCTACTACAACAAGAGAATAAGTCCCTCTGTTTGTCTTTTGAGGTTTTGGGGGGGACTTGGCAGTGCTGGGGATCCAGTCCAGGGCCTCACACATGCTAAACCAGAACTCTGCCACTGATTACCTCCCAGCCTGTAAAGCCTTTTTATAATATCTCTGGCTTTTCTTACTCTATCCAGAACTTTTCAGTGATTATCTCTAGCAAAAATCTTAGAGCCAAGTTTGACCTGTTCAAGCAATAGACAGGTCACAGCCAACAATCAAAAGCTAAGAGAAGGGACCAAGGATATAGTTCAGCAGCATAAGTGTCTGCCTGACGAGTGCAAGGTCCTGAGTGTGATCCCTGGTACCACAAAAAAAAAAAAAAAAAAAAAAAAAGCACCTAAGAGTAAAAAGCTGGGAGACTCTTTCAATTGGATGATTCATCTGCCAAGAACAGAACTTTGATCTTTTCACTATTGACCACAGCGATCAGTCCCTTGTCCATGAAAGTACACGTGGTACAAACAGGGCCTTAGCGTATACTTCAGTCAGATCCTCCTGGTACAGCAGGAGTCCTTTCTAGTCTCCCAACAGTGTCATTTTCATATGTGATGTTGTTTCCTCTTATTCCACTGGTTTTTTTTCCAATTTACTATCCTCCCTTGTAGTCTTACTTTTAGGCTATTTCCCATCATGGTCAAAGCCAAGAGCTTATCCAGTATCTTCTCTTAGTTTTATGCCCAACTCTGGCCAAGCAGAAGAACTAGATCCACTTGTTCCCAAGCAGGTTTCCTCCAACTTACACCATGAAGTTACCTCTGCCCCCAGCATGCTGGAGACACTGTCCCAAGTCCCAGTGAGCTTGCTTTTCTCTCCCCCAAGGCTGCTGACCGTTAGGGAGGGCAGGCCAAAAAAGCTCAGGTGTTCATTTGGAGCCTGGCAGAGCAGAAAAAAGGGCTGCCTGCCCCACTGAGCACTTTGTTCACCCCCTTGGCCAGAGCATGAAATCCATTATGGATGTGTGACTCTGAGTATGTTCATGGGAACTGGAACTGCTTTCAGAACAGTCCAGTATTCTAGAAGCTTGAAGGGACTGAATAAAGAAAGAGCACATGTCGGGGTCTAGGTATGAGGTGATGAGGTTGACTCGGGGGCTTGAGCCAGCATCTCCCTGTATCATTCAGGTTGGTCTCAAACTCAAGGCTGAAGCAAGAAGATCACAAGTTTGAGTCCAGCTTGTGACAAAATTTTAAAAAGGGCTGGGGATGGAGCTCTGTGCAAAGGTCTTGGGTTCAATTGCAAATATAAAAAATAATAAATATGTATGTATGTATCAAGCTAGAACCTCTCAGGAAAGCAGTGGTATAAGAAAACATAAAGACTAAAAGCAGGGTCGGGAAGATGGCTCAGTGGAATAAGCGCTTCCCTGGCAAGCGCAAGGGCCTGAGTTCAATCCCTGGTTCT